TAAATTTTAAAAGTTTAAGATAGTACTTGGTGATTTTTAATGTTTTATTAGACGTAATTTTTTCGTACAAGAAGGACTTTACAAAACAAGCGAGAAAACGCCTTAGGTTAATTAGGTACGTACTTTACGAAAATAAGTACTGGAACGCAACTTTTAGGTGGTAAAATAATTTAATTTATTATTGTACGAAATTGTATTGAACAAAATTTTTGATTTGAAAAATTTGAAAATAACTGACGAATATATTATCTTATAAAAATATTATATAATAATAATTAATAATACCATCATAAATTTTATAATTGTTTAATGCGTTGGCTCATTTAAAATGTTTTTGCCAATAAGCATACAATTGCTAAATATAAAAAAATACTCTCGTAAAAAAGCACAAATTTGCTAGAATTTGTAAAAATACATGAGATTTTTAAATAAAACATGATAACATGAGATTGATTGGAAAAACTTGAGATCTTATGCAAAATACCTGGCAACATTGCACAGAAATGTCATATTCGGGTTGCTGTTCCTGATCCCCACTACCAACCACTATCAACCAACCCACATTACCGATTATGTACAGCAAAAATAATAACATGGTGCATAAGAATTATGTCTTCCGAATACGACAACCACAATATAAAATAAAAAAACATGTTTTGAAGGTAAAATTTTGAAAATATGGTTAATTTTTGTTAAAAATAAGAATTTAGGTGAAATAGCTACATTTACACCGGTTTAGGTAGTAAAATATAAAAATTACGTCCATTTCTTTTAAAAATGAAAATTTAGGTAACCTTGCAATTCCAATTTACTGTAATTTAATTTTATCATATGCTTGACTTTGCCCATAGTATACAGGGTGTTTCACATTCGTGGTCCATTGGAAGTTTTTGGGGAACGGATAAATATATCGATTTAAAATTTTAGTCTATTTTTCTAAAATATTTTTTAACAAAATTTCACTTCCGGTCTAACCGGAAGTGGCATCAACTTTATTACTCTAAGTATTGAATTTAAAATTCAAATATTGAATATGCTAATATGGAACGCGCTCTGAAAAAACGAACCTTAGGTCCAAAAAGTCCAAAAAGAAGCATCTAGTTTTCTACCTTACTATATTTGGGTTTCTGTTCTAAAAAAATTTTTATAGTTTAAATTGTAGGTTTCTCTTTAAAATTTTTAGGGTTATTGTTAAATAGTTTATTTCAAAATAAGCATTCTTAATTTGTTGCTATAAATTACTAAAATATAAATTTTACCTTTTACAACAATCAACTGTTGATTGGCTAGATCATTTTCTCTAAAAAGAGAAATTATCACCCCCGTAGTGACGCCACTGCCACAGAAGTGGCCTAACTATGGTACATAATATAACAAAATACTCACGAAATTTCAATAAAACATGTTCTTTAGTTTAGTAAAAATTATTTTAAAAAATAAAAATATATGCAACATTGTATTTCTGAAACTATTGATTTTTTGATATAATTTTATTAATATTATTTTAACATTTTTATTGATTTTAAAATTATTAAAACCTTGGACCACCCTGCATATAGAAATTCTGTAGCTATAGAATCAGTGTTAATAAAAAAATCGACTTTCATTAATTTTACATTTTGAGGTACGGCCCTAACAGAAATGGGTTCATTACTATTGTCTATGACTGTACGTTATTTTGATTGCTTAGATTCTGTTTAAACAAAACGTGTCAAAAATATTACAACCGAATGATTTATTGGAAAACTTTACACTTAAAGAGTTACACACATTATTGAGATTCTTTTTGAATTTTAAATTTTTATCCTTCGTCGCCTCGCAAAGAAAATCGCACCCTTTTATGCAAAGGGTTGCAGAAAAACAAAACAAACTTTTAAGTTAAAGTCAAGTTATCCACTTGATTTTCACGAATATAAAATGATTTAGTCTAAAACAAAACAATTCAAGTAAATATTTATTTATTTTTTTAACAATTATCGCCTTAATTGAAAGTTTCTATACGAAAACTTTCTTGAAATAACACTTATTATATTTTTCAAGTCTTTTATCTTTATATTCTGGGTTTATTAAGGTTCTAAAGTTAAAAAACAGTAAAATTGGGGGAAAACCCTGTTTTTTTACCGTGTTCTTGAAAAATTTGACTTATTTCGGAAAAAATGTTTTTTTTTTGACAATATACACATTTTAATAAAAATAGCTATCAAAAACTCAACATAATTTTGATTAAAAAAAAACAATAAAACTTAGCATTGAATTTAATTTAATTGGTGTAAAAAAATAAACGTTAACGTTAAATATACTGTCGGTTGGGCTCTTTTTGAATGAATTATTGAATTAATAAAGTTAAAAATATAATTTTATAAATCGATGTGTCAAATACAACGATACTTACATAAAAACAACGTTTTTTTCGCTCCGGTAGAATATTCTTACTGAATAATAAAAGGAATAAAAATAAAAGGAATAATTATTTTAATCAAAATATTATATGATCATAATCAGCGTCGGAAATTTTTTTGTTAATACCTGTGTACGAATATTTTAAGAAAAATTTACCTTTGAATAAAATAAAAAAAATTCGCAATGAAAATTCTATAATTTTTTCATATTAATTATGTATGTGAACTAACACTTTTACGCTGCATTTAAATGAGTGTATTGACACAGAAAAAGTGTGCGAAGCTAAAAATAACTGCTGAAACCAATTATACCATACCCATAGGCTATGGCTATGGTCCATAGCCAATATTATAATTTCTAGTCAATACAGTTCAATAAATACAAAGAGCATTTCTAATAAAATTTGTTATATTTTTATATTCCAGTTATAATTGAGTTGTTTTCAAAAAACACCCGCCTTCCGCTGTCCGTAAGTTTGAATTCCAATAACTTTGTTAAAAATTATCGGATCCTATTGATTTAAAAACCAAGTAAAAGCCTAACAAGCCCTTAGTAAACTCTTTCAGAAAATGTTTGTTTAGTTATTTCAGAATATTTTTTTTTAAATTTTGAAACTTGTGAAACACACATTTTCGCATGTCCCATTAGCGTTTTATAAAACTTTTTGAATAACCAGAACTTTGTGTTGCTTTATAGAAATCCATAACATCCTTAGTTAATACAGTAAATAATTTATATATAAATTAATTAATTTTAATATACTTTTTCAAATTTGACTCATGTCTCATACATTTTTTCCGTTGCGTTACGTCCGTCGCGTTACCGATAAAAAAAATATATATGGCAACTTTTTTGGCACTCACGTGATCAACAAATTATGTTCGGACGTACACATTACCCAGCTGAATTTATTTATTCAATCAGGAAGAAGATATCGGTTGAAACAGGTGCGGGTAACGCGAATGTAATAATTGTTTGTCCGCTAAGTTACTCAAAAAAAAAAAATAAAAATAAGATTAGAAAAAATACTATTTTTAATGTTTATGTTTATTTTAGGGCACTAAAGCTCATTAAGAGTAATTAATGACTGTAATGTCTTATTATTATTTTTTAAATAATGTTTCACAAAACTTTTTCCACTGCGTTACCGAGTCCATTATGTTACCTTATGGTAACGCAATGGAATTTAGGGTAACGCAATAGAATTTTTCGACAACAAAGAGGATATTTACCGTCGCTTTTATTAAAAGTAGTTTATGATAAACCAATTTAAAATTATTTGTGATCCAAGGGAAAATTCCACGCAATATACAAGTACTAAAAGGGACGCAAGACCTTCATCAGCTTATAGTCAAAGAAAAAGGGTGTCTACAATTTAGAAATCTAAGTTGTTATTGTGCAAGTGAGCACCACTACATGGGATTTTGTTTATGCATTACTCTAAAATCGTACCACCCTATATAGTTTCTGTTTTACGTTATCTGATTGTCCTTTGTGTACCCAGTCCGTTGTGATACCAATGTCTATTTCGTTACTTTCTTTTGGTTTTTATTAAAAAAATACTTAAAATGATTTTTATACACTATTACTTGGTAATACGTGTTTATACGTAAATTAGAGTATAACTCACTAATACACTCACTAAAAGAAAATATTAATGGTATTGTTTTTTTAACAAAGAATCGGAATGGTTTCTTTTAAAAAGTAACTTTACGAACATAAATATTTAAAAAAAGCACACAATTTTTAATAATAAAAAAATTGGAGTCAAATTTTGTGAACTAAGTACATTTTATTTCAAAATATTTACTTTTTTTATTGAATTAAATTTTGGATTTCAAATTGGTAACACAGTGAAGATATACATATTAAGCTAGCTATAACATTTTTCTGAAAAAAACGTAAAAAAAATTAAAAAGTGCACTGCCTGTCTAAAAGCGGGTGTTTCTTGAAAATTACTCAATTATATTATGATTATAATTATAAAATAAAAGCTCTAAATTCCAATTTTATTTTATTTATTAGATGTTTATTATCCGCCATTTTTGCATCTCTCAAAAGGCCGCAAAAGTGGAATCGCTTTTTAATATTTGCGTATTTGACAAGCATCTAGTTTTTTTATTATTGCACTTTTTGATGTAAAAGCTTTTTATAATGTTTTTATTTTTTCCTGTTAAATACATTTAATATTTTTTCATAAACCATTAATTAAACGCGTTGCTGTTTCTTACAAAGTCTGTATTTTTAAGGGTGCAAAACAATAGAAAAGTTTAATTAAAAATATCATTTATCGTATTTTCATTTGCAGGTGTTTATTGCACTGACATATTTTTAATATGTACCTACTGCTGTCTACTGATTATTTTTAAATAAATAATAAAATCCTTATAAAAGTAGTTTCTTGTTTTTTTTTAATAATCAGTTTTTTTATGGAAATATTGTCTTTTAAATTATTTTGTGCTAAAAAACACTGGATACTGGACAATCTTAAAACAATTTTACAACCATTTATTATAAGAATGTATTCTATTATTGTTATTTATGTAAAAAATTTGTATATTGTGAAAACTAAAATTACAACCTTTTCTGTTTTGTTTCAGTTGTACAGTTTTTTCAATGCCCTCTTGACACATATCCCCTCGACGGCCAACGCTCCAGGAAGTAATCTCAGTTCGAGGAGTTCATCCCTGGGTAAGTGTTTTATTTTTAAACAAGATTATGGTTCATCCTTTATTGTTTGTATTTTCCTGATTTCGAATCAACACTTCAAACCTTAGAACCATAGAATGTAATAATATGAAGCTTTACAAGAAACCAAAAAAACAGAATTTGATGAGCACTTTATAGGTTTTTGAAAATCAGTAAAATTATTTTCAATTTTCACTCTCTTGTGAGGTAACTACCAAAAATTACCGATCTCAGCTGCCTATAATTTCTAAAATTATAAAAAAGTGTATGGAAAACAAACAAACGATTTTGTTTAAGCAAAACAACCTGTTTATATTTCCTCGTACACGTGAAAAATAATTTAGACCAATCGGTATATGTTTTTTTACATTCTAGTCTGTAAAAAACACGTTAGGACCAATCAAAGGTTCGAACTATTAAATCTACCTAACCTCACTTTCTTCTTTTTATAATTATTATTTTAATTGTATGTTTTATGTATTGTTTAACAAATACAATTGTGCCTTAAAAATAAAATGTTGTATTCTATTCGGCTACGAAGTGTCTTTTTTTGCTTTTAAGCTTATTGTGGATAAAATCTAAGACTCAATATGTAGATATGGTTGCGCTAACTCTATAGGCAATGATCACCACTTTTATTTAGTCAACAAGGAACCAACAAATTTACTTTCTTTATCAAAAATAAAGAAAAAATACTGTGCGAAATGACAGGTTTATTAGGAAATAAAATTAAAACTTTGAACCTAGAATTAACACTAAAGTAATACGGGAACCACATATATTTTTGGAAGCTATTACCTCATTTTGGTTTGAATGCTATATTATATTTATATTTTTATTTAAAATTATTATTATTATTATTATTTTAGGCCAATAACTTCTTAATTAGAAATTAGATTTCTTTTTTAAATGTCAGAAAATGTAAATCCTTACAAATATCCCTTCTGCCTATAAATATTAAAAGTGGATTTTTAATTAAACTTTTAATTATTTAGAGCGAAATTTCATTAAATACTTTATGAATATTGATGTTTGAATAATCTTTTTTGGCAATGCTAACCGTAAAATTATAAAATATTTTCGTGCTTCGCTTATACATTTTGTACTGCTTACTTTTTTGTTTATATTTGCGATCTGAATTTTGTCCAATCCATATTTTAAATAAAAAAAATAAAAACACAACTTTTTTAAATAAAGGCCAATGTAAAGAATTTTGCATAAATTTATATCGCCATATAAAAGCAATTCATTATATTTGAAATGCTCTTAGAATGAACTGAAATATTTAATATATAATTGTCGAGAAAATGTAATGCTTCAAATATAAAAATGCATACGTATGAATATGAAAGTTTCATATTACTAAAAATAGTTAATTATTTTTTTAAGAAAAAGCAATATAAGTTTTGACAAACAATGGAAAAACGATTTAAATTACATCAAAAAAATGAAATTGTCATTACATCTTATACTTTCAAAACATTCATAAAAGTATAGGAATTTAAAACGTTTAGCCTTCAGGTAACATTTTAAAGTAAAAATAAATTTTCACTTATTATTGTAAATATTGTTTTTCGTAAGACCGTTTTTCTTCTGTTACCGTGAAAGGATGTCCATGATATTTTTTACAGAAAAAGTGGTACGTTAATTGCATTTTTTCATTTTAATATTTTTGGATTAGCGTGGTCAGTTCTACTTTAAAACGGCATCTTTCGTTTTTCAGAAGCATCGTTTTTTGATTAAAACAATTACTCCAACTAACGTTCCTTAGATTACCAAAAATAAAATAATAATAATAAAATACCTGGGCTGCTAGATGTTTGCTGCCCAGTTCATAATCGGTTTATTAAAAAAAAGCAAAATTTAATATAGTTTTATTAGATAAACTATAATTGTATACTTTAATTTTTTAATAAACTCGGTTAAATTCTGAGGATATAAACTGGTAGGTGTGTTCAGAAAATAACGGGAATTGTTAAATTTCGCGGCTTCGGAGGGTCCGGTTGCAATAAATTTTCTTTATTATGTTGGCATACATGCCCCGAAGTATGATAAAAACTTAAGCTGTTTTCATTGTTTACTTTGTCTGTGGCAGCCGCTAAAGTTAGACGTGTTTTATGAGCTCGGCGATTTTCGTTCGTTAAAAGAAATGGATCAAAGAATTTGTATTGGATATTTTGCTTAAAAAATGAAATAAATTCTGTGAAATGTTAATAAAGGCCTATAGTGAGTCTGCTATAAGTAAAACAAGAGTTTACAAGATGGCCGTGAAGACGTTGAAGATGATGAACGCCCCGAACGCACAAGCACATTAACAACCGATAAAAACATGGAAAAATTTGAAGAAATGGTTATAAACCATCAGAGAAGTCGCTGATGATGTTGGTATATCGATTGGCTCATCCCATGAAATTTTTTCAAATATTTTGGGTATGAAATGCGTGGCAGCAAAATCTGTTCCAAAATTGTTAAATTTTGAACACAATTTTTGGCCAAAAACAATACTGTAATGATGCCCCAGCCTCCATATTCGCCAGACATGCCTCTGTCTGACTTTTTCCTAAACCCAAAAATAAAGAGAACCTTAAAGGGCCGTCGTTTTGCAAGCATAGATGACATTAAAAGCGCATCGCTGAAAGAACTAAAGGCTATCCCAAAGATGGAGTTTTAGAAGTGTTTCGAGTATTGGAAGAAGAGCTGGCACATATGCATAATATCCAATGGGGACTATTTTGAAGGCGACAACCTTAATGTAGACGAATAAATAAATATTTGTTTCAAAAATCGAAAATTCCCGATATTTTCTGAACACACCTCGTATTACCAAATAAACGCCTATTTGACTCGTATGATTTGTCACAAGTGTGTTTTTTGTTTGCCCTTCAAGCAGCAATGGAGCGACGCGTCGCGACGGATAGATAGTATATGGGCCGGAGAGTAACATAAACTACTTTTTTTGGACTTTTTTTATTTGTTGTGTTTTTCTTTATTGTTTTTGCTTTTTATCAGAGGGTAGAGGCGGTGGGGGGTTAATAGTAAATGATTCTTAAAATAATCCTATTTGTACTTCTGCGGTAAACAAGTATTTGATATAAAAACGGTTTTATCCGTAAATGTTTACTATGCCTTCAAGGAAATAAAATAAAAAGAAATGGAAAAGGAAAAAGAATAAAAACAAGTAGGTAGTCCCTTTGGGTCATTTATAAATGTTGGTATGGTAAGAGCAGATAATTCTAAATGGGCAATCTTTTTTGTCTTACTTTAACCAAAACTGTTTTTATAATGAAACATAACACGGCGGTTTTACATGCCAACATAAAAGGGGGGGAAAAGAAAGATATGCTTTTGTTAGCGAGAAATTAATAGGGTTTATAATGGACAAAATTTAAGAACTGGTGTAAATAATCTACTTTGTTTTTAAACAAAAAAAGGTAAATCCATACCATTATTGTACACATTATTATTATACATATTATTTTTAATATGAAAAAACGCTTTAAAGAATACAACGTTTTATTAAAAAAATTGTATTGTATTGTGTAAAAAATAAACTTATATAAATTACATATGTATCTAAAATTTATAATACAAATAATTATAAAATTAACATTTTAAAACAATTTACTAATTTAAAATATTCCTAATGTTGATTATTCCATTCTTTACAGAAAATTTGGACAACAGATATGAAGACGAATCTCCGGATCCTGACGAGGAATTTATGGATGCGGAACAGAAAAGTTTAATGACCTATAAAATAAATTTTCCACTTACTGAAGCAGACATTACCAAATTACTAGAAGTATTTAAAAAGAGAAGAGTAAGTTAAAAAATTGATTTGCATGTTTAATAATTAATTAATTTAAAGCTATACAAAAGTTTTTTTTAAACATTTTTTGTGTAAAATTCATACTAATTATTTTTCTTTTTACTGTGTTTAAGTTCAAAGTAAAAATTTAAATTATTTGCAGCATTACAGGTTACCACCGGACGTAGTAGCAGAAATTTTGATAAGAGCCGTAAGAGTTTTAAAAACTTTGCCCAACTTGAATAAGGCTTCCACATCTATAAGTAAACAAATTACTATTTGTGGGGATTTGCATGGCAAATTTGAGGATCTACTGGTCATTTTTCATAAGGTAAGAACATATTTTTTGCTAAATATTTGACAAAAATGGCGAATGCACCGGGGTTAAATATTCGTTATTTAGTAATTTTTCTACTACCACCTCTAAAACGCTCATTATCGTATATGTTTTGGATGATACTAATTGACCTTTTAAATACACATTGACAAGCTGTGGCTTTATGGCGTTTTAATAGCTTTGTTCGCGGAGCCCATCCATGACTAGTTCCGTATCTGTATAGGGTAAATAATCACGAACCATGGTACGCATGCGCGATTCGGAACCGATCAAGAATTAACAAATCTCCGCGAACGCGTTTCTAACCGCAACCATCAGTCAGCTGTTTGGTGACAAAACTTTTTGGGGAATCTCCTTCCTGATAATTAGGTATAGTATTCAGAATTGCTAAATCGCTTTGCTAAATCATCAACAATCTCTTTGCTAACTCGAAAATGCTCCCTAAATAGCTGATCATCGAACATGGAAACAATTTCTTCAAAATATGCAGTATTTTCAATTAAATCTAAACTATTTTCTAAATCTTCATCACTGGATGATAGATGATCACTTATCTATAAAATAAGCAAGGAAATGAAAAATGCAAGTAAAAAATAAGTATTTCAACTTACGTTTTCGTTTAACAATTTAATTAAAAACAATATAGAACATATAACCTAAAATAAACTTTAAACAATAATGAACAATACGCATGTCTGACAGCTAGTACATGCTAAAATCCTCGGATCGTTTTGACTTGTCAGTAATTAGTTCGAAACTGGTCCCGAAGGCTCCGCGAACGAGTGATCAAATGTCAAATGTTGCCGATTTTTACACCGCGAACGCTAAAATTGCCAGTGCGCATGCGCAGTTGTCGCGGATTAATCACGGATGAGCTCCGCGAACAAAGCTAATAACGGCCTGAAGTTATCCACAGGGTTTTAGTCACAGGCATAGATTTGAGTTAGTTTACAGTTGTCAAATGTTATACAATCATTAAAATAAAGTCCTTTTTTGTAAAATATTAAATATAAACATTATTTTATTATCTGAATTAGAGTGTCTCAAAAAACCGACTATTTTTTTTTCAAAGAACATTGAAAAATCGTCAGAGTATCTTTAGAAAGCGACCCTGTGAAAATATGATTAATATCATTGTGCTCGAATCGGAAAATTTTTTTTCTAACAAGCACGGCACCCAGTGGCATTACCTAATTTGAATACGCTAAATTCAATGGTACTAGTCGCTTTTATAGGTTAGCTCTTGTTTTCGATATATTTTAGATCCAAGCATCACAAAAAAACATTACTGATTATAAATTGATGAAAATCGATGGAATAAATGTATAGACAGATACATATTGAAAAGAAACTGTTGAAAAAAAAATAATTTGGTCGATTTTAAAGTGTTTTTTTTATGATTTTTTTTTTAATAATATACGAGGTGTGTAAAATATCGGGAATTGTTAAATTTCGCGGCTTCGGAGGGTCCGGTTGTCATAAAATTTTATTTATTATGTTGGTATACATGCCCCCGAAGTATGATAAAAACTTTAGCTGTTTTCATTGTTTACTTTGTCTGTGGCAGCCGCTAAGGTTAGACGTGTTTTATGAGCTCGGCGATTTTCGTTCCTTAAAAGAAATGGACCAATTTTGCTTAAAAAATGAAATAAATCTGTGAAATGTTAAAAAAGGCCTATAGTGAGTCTGCTATAAGTAAAACAAGAGTTTACAAGTGGTATAAGAGTTTCCAAGATGGCCGTGAAGACGTTGAAGATGACGAACGCCCCGAACGCACAAGCACATTAACAACCGATAAAAATATGGAAAAAGTGGAAGAAATGGTTATAAACCATCAGAGAAGTCGCTGATGATGTTGGTATATCGATTGGCTAATCCCATGAAATTTTTTCAAATGTTTTGGGTATGAAACGCGTGGCAGCAAAAATTGTTAAATTTTGAACAAAATTCTTGGCCAAAAACAATACAGTAATGATGCCCCAGCCTCCATATTCGCCAGACATGCCTTTGTCTGACTTTTTCCTATTCCCAAAAATAAAGAGAACCTTAAAGGGCAGTCGTTTTGCAAGCATATATGACATTAAAAGCGCATCACTGAAAGAACTAAAGGCTATCTCAAAGATCGAGTTTTAGAAGTGTTGGAAGAAGAGTTAGCACATGTGCATAATATCTAATGGGGACTATTTTAAAGGCGACAACATTAATGTAGACGAATAAATAAATAATTGTTTCAAAAAAATGAAAATTCCCTATATTTTCTGAACACACCTCGTACAGTTTTCATAATTTTTCATAAATACAGTATTCAACTTTTAAGGGGTTTTCAATAAGAGTGATATGTTTTCTTTGTTAAATAAATGGTTCAAATAATGCTTCTTCTACAGAGCTGAATACGGTGAGTAAAATTTTTGATCACTTTAATTAATAAATAAGGACCTATTTGTCGAATTTGGTGTTCAATATTTAAATTTAATGACTCAATTATTGCTGGTTTATTAGCAAAGACCATTCTTGCGTCATAAAAATTTTGTAAGGATGCAAGCCCAAATTGAACCGTAAAATAAGCCATGTTGTGGCAGACAGTCGACTGTTGAGAAAGTCTTCGATTGTCTTTGTCTCACTGGCACGCGAAGATTTTGTAAAAAAAGACTGCGTTCAAAATTTTCCACAGTTCGACGAATAGCGAGCATACTAAAGTCTATTCAAATCCAAGCTGGACTAAATGTAAACACAATCCTCCGAATCGACCAATAAGAGCTCACAATCCGAGTCACACCATCAGAATCGACCAATAGAAACGAGTTATCACGCGTCTTGGCGTTTTTGTTTAGTCCAGCTTGGATTTGAATAGACTTTAGGCCGATTATGACGACAATATTTGGGAAGAAGTGCACGATGAAATATAAGAACGATTATTTTGATAAAAAAATGGATTATTTTCAAACGTTGTTGAGGAGTGTATTGTAGCATGCACCTTTTTACCTGCTACGTTTGATAGTCAAAAATAACATTTTAAATCTAAATTTTTATTCAATTTCACAAATTTAAATATATACTATATTTTTACTAGGAACGACACTTTTTGGAACAACACTGTTTTCATGTATTATCTGCAATTAAAAGGTTTTAATTAGCTATTCGTGTGATTTTGCACTGCATTTACCTTGTTTGATACTTAATCAACTGATCACTGGTTGAGTATTGCTGTCAAGTGGTGCCACGATAGTTTTTGAGAACTGATTACACTTTTATGCAGATCGGGTGACTTGGGTGTCTGACTTTTGTTTTGCAGTTATCCGCTGAGGAGCCTGGAGGTCGACAAGCTCAAGCAAACCGGTTGTTTTTCCTAAAGTTCCTTTTCCCTTATATTTTATCCTTAACCTTCAGTATAACCTCTAAAAACAAAAATCTTCTATTAACATTTTTATTTCCATTTACCTTGGTTTTTGGCTGTAGCCGAGTGTGTATTTCATTGAATATGTAATCTGCGTTTCTTTTACCTTGCTACAGTCCTCATTTTCTGAAATTTCTCAAACGAAATAGCGGTGGTTTGTTGTTTACTTCAATTGACGTATGTGACATTTTAGATGTAATGTTGGTTGCGTCTGGTGGAAGGTGCGCTTGCGTGACTTTTAAATCGGCGTTATTTCCCTTTCTTCGGGTACTGAGGTTCTTTCCGTTGAAGACTCGATGAAAACTACATGCCGACGTGAGATAAGTTAAGTGCCAGAAATATTGAAGTCCTTACCGTGGTTTATTTCACTTTTATCGTGCCAAGTTGCAGTAAGAGCATTGTTCGTTTTCAATGACTGCGTGAGACGCTGTAATTCTGGAAATTTCACGAAAAACGCTGCGGCGTGCCTTTTCTTAACCTCAACTTGGTAAGTTTTTCTACCTTTATTTCGAGCATCGGTTTTAAATCCGATTATTTTTTTCTTCCAATTAGTTTCTACTCGGCATGTATACCTATTAGTGACCATATTTTCCCGGATTTGACGATATTTTCCCGGCTTTGACTACAATTTCCCGATGATGACAAATTTTGCCTATTTTGACGAATTATTACCGATTGTACTTGGATTACAAATTATCTCCATGCCAGATTATTAAATCTGTAAGTTGTGAACTGTGTTCAGTCAGGGAGTGGTTTTTACAACCTTATTTACTTTTAGGGCATGTACCTTGTAGTAGGATTTTACCAAATATATCTTCCACCCTATTTTGTCACCTTTAACATCAAATCAACCTGATGCCCAGATCAGCTGTTCCTCTACACTTCTACCTACCGACCAACACGAAACCGATGCTGGAGCTTGTCACCACCAAGGTTCACCACCCGGAGCAGCAACACTTGGAGTCAGGATTATGTGTGTAGAATTTTAGAAACATTTAACATTTAAGGTAACCTTTTTGTCTCGGTCATAGCGCCGCTTAACCTTTTTTTGTCTCGGTCATAGCACCGCTTAACTATTTTTTTTGTCTCGGTCATAGAACCGCTTTACCCATTTTTGTTACGGTCATAGAACCGCTTTACCCATTTTTGTTTCGGTCATAGAACCGCTTCACTATTTTTGTTTCGGTCATAGGACCGCTTAATTATTATATGTAAACCATCGATACGTATCGTGAGGTAGTATGCACAAGTGTTTATTTAGTTTGATTTAATTTTCACATGTTCAATCGAACAATAGTTTGATTTAATTTTTGCATGTTCAACCGAAACAACAGTCCAATTAAACCCAATTAAATTTTAATAACCTTTTTGTTGAAAACCTTTCAATTTTCAAAATAACTTAAGTTAGGTTAAGTGATCGACCTAACTTTCATGTTTTTAAATGATCACTTGGCGCCCACAAGGTAAGTTGTTGTGTGCTATAAAAATCATCAGAACACATTTTGACACAAACACTAATTTTTCTACAAGAATCCACGGTCATACTTTTGAACCCTGCTCTCCGCAACCTAAACAGTAAAGCTGCCGTCAGCAAAGTAAG